GTGGAGAACAGTCACTCTAGGCGAATCACAATGCCTCGAGTTTATATCGGACGACTAAGCTATCATGTCCGCGAAAAAGATATTCAGCGTTTTTTCAGCGGCTATGGGAAGCTAATGGAGATTGATTTAAAGAACGGGTAAGTTTTCGGCGGAATTTTGTAAGCCAGAGTCCAACTAGCATAGTTAGCATTAAAGGTAGCCATTCATGCGAACGATGCACGGACTCGGGGTGGCATTTCACTCTTTTACACAGATAGATATATATTTTTTAGAAGTTAAGTTTGATTCTAAAACGCAATATGTCGATGTATGACGTTTATTATTGTCCTTATAAATGTAAAACGTTTTGTTTCTTTAACTTCATTCATGAACGTTTAGCAAATGTCGCGTGGCCAACATGGCGTCTTTATACTTTGCACGTCGCTGTGCTAACGTATGCTAACGCATGCTAACGCTAATTAGCTAGTTAATTCGTGCAAGTAAGCGGGTAACGCTCATTTCATACTCATGCTTTTAAACCCTTTCTTTTTGCAGGTATGGATTCGTGGAGTTCGAAGATAATAGGGACGCTGACGACGCCGTTTACGAGCTAAACGGGAAGGAGCTGTGTGGGGAGCGGGTGATCGTCGAGCATGCCCGGGGCCCGCGACGAGACCGAGATGGCTACGGTGGGGGTTACTGGGGTGGTGGGCGCAGTAAGTGCAGTCTATTACAAGATACCCTCTCTTCCCCTTCCCCTTGGGGTGAGGTGTCGACGTGGACTGCACAGACAGCTGTTTGAATGATTCATGGTGACGCTAATTTTAACAGACTTGCCGCATAGGTTTACAGATACTCAGCTGGCCCTCGATCAGGTTTTTCCAGGTACCCCTCATGGGTTATAGCCAGCCACGTGGGTAGCTCTTTAAGGCGCAGGTTGCATGCAACGTTGTAGGACTGTCAGTAGAGCTATTGTTCATGTTGTTCATTATATCACGCAGTAACTTCATCACATGCAACCATGGTTTATCTTCATTCTTACAAATCAGGGAGTCCAGTTTGGTTTTATATCACCCTGCTGAACAGTTCTCAGTCTGTCACCCAAGGGGTAGTGACCTGCAGGTTTTTGCTCCTCCATAGTGATTATCATCACGAGCTACATACTATTTGATTGCAAGGGGCAATAATCTGTGAGATTTAAAAGCAGTTTTGAGTCTAGAGTTTAGTGTTGTTAAATTCTTATCATACATTGTAAAATTCACTTGAACCATAATTGTCATTTGGGCGAGCCATGTGAAGGTGTCTTTTTTATTTTTATTTTTTGTTTGTTTTCACCAGAGGGGAAAAAAACAAGCTGAACACAAATCACCACATACATAGCTACCTAGTTAGTGTAGTCATTAGGAGTAGACTAACGTTTTCATGTGAAATGTGTTTTAACTTTGGTCTATATATAATTTTTTTTTATATTCAACATTAACAAAAGTCCTTGATGTTTCAATTTGAAAGAGTCCAGTTGCGGGCTGAGGCTGAGAGTCCATTGAGGCTAAAGATGACTGGCTAAGATGACTGCCTGTCCCGTTTGGCCTTGGCTTTCACCTTACAATGTGTGTGTGACCTTTGCCCCCCCTTGATCCTTGGCTGACCTAACCGGAAGCCATGATGACAGCAGCCTTTTGCCAATAGACCAGGGGTGATGGTGAGGATTGCCATTGGTTTTTATGTTGACAGCAAACATAAGTGGATCGGCACCTTTACAGGCCTTACAATCTAAAGAAATGTTGTAAGATCAAAACTGGAAAAAAGAATTTCAGACTGACATCCGGTTAAATAAAAAGATGCCAATTTTCAAAAGATTGGTGTGTTTTTAACACCGTAATCAATTTGAACAGTGTCCCCGACTGCAGCCTTTGTGGATGCCTCCTTTCTGTTTGTGTTACAGGATACAGAGGTCTTGAAAGAACATCACTGTCCATTTGTTTTATGCAGCTATAGCATCACAGAGTGATGTACTGGAGTAAGACAGATGCTGATTTGTGTTTTTTGTATTGCCGGAAACAGATGCAGTGGTGTTCTTTGCAGCAGAAAACAGCTTCCAAATGCTGAAAAATACAAACTTTAGAGCCCATGCAGTTGCTTGTAGAGCACTTAACTGGAGCTGTTTGAAAATGAGATCAAAGAAACCCCTTTGACTGTTTGTACAAATTTAAACCCCCTCCCCCCCAAGGACAATAATCTGGAAACTCACTGCCTTGAGTGCATTTGATAGTCCAGAGCAGTAGTACTTTGAATCTTGTTTGGTTTAGTGGTTTCTAACTATTTGTGTGTGCTGTTGTTTTTTTTAAAGGTAGCGGTTACAGCAGCCGCAGCCGCTCTGGCAGGGACAAATATGGACCGCCAGTCCGCACAGAGTACCGCCTTGTTGTGGAGAACTTATCCAGCCGCTGTAGTTGGCAGGACCTCAAGGTAAATATTTGAAAATAAGAGAGGGGAATCTTCAGATAAAGGGAAAATGTATTGTAGAAGTGCTTGGAATGAAATCAATAATCGGCACCTCATCCTCTTCCCGTCCACCAGGACTTCATGCGTCAGGCAGGAGAGGTGACCTATGCAGATGCCCACAAGGAACGCACCAATGAGGGAGTGATTGAGTTCCGGACGTATTCCGACATGAAGAGGGCTCTGGACAAGCTGGATGGTACTGACATCAATGGGCGGAAAATTCGCCTGGTGGAGGACCGTCCTCGCAGACGTCGGTCTTACTCTGGCAGTCGCTCCAGGTAAACAAATTTCTTACTGCTGACTGCTTTTTAAGATGAGCCTCGCTTTGGTACATTTTGTTGCTCAGAGATTTTGTTTATTTAACAAGAAACTGATGTAAATTTTATTTATTTTTTTAAATCGTGCTCTGTCATCTTCAGATCTCGCAGTCGTCGTCGCTCCCGCAGCAGGAGAAGCAGAAGCCACAGGAGCAGGAGCTCAAAGAGTCGCTCCAGATCCCACTCGAGGTTAGGATCAATGTAATCTTGGAACAGTAACATGGAGATTTAAATTATATTATTGGTATTGATAAGTTCTGTATGTTCAGTATGACATTTTGTCATGACATTGCTGTCATGTAAGGTGGGGCTGTACTGAGCTTTGCTTCTGTTCCTATAGGTCTCGTTCCCGCAGCAATAAGAGACGACATCATTCCCGCTCCAGGTCTGAGAGAAAGTCTCGCTCCAAGTCAGGAGAACGCAAATCACGTTCTCGCACTCGCAGATCTCGTTCTAGATCCAACAGATCCAACAAATCCAAATCTCGTTCACGCTCTCGCAAATCTCGGTCTCGCTCCGCCGAGCACAAGTCCAAGTCTCGTTCAAAGAGCCGCTCTAAGGTAAAGTCGGAGAGGGATTCTCGTAGCCGATCAAAGGAACGGTCTGCTGAGAAGAAGTCCCGCAGCCGATCACCCTCTCCAGTAGAGAATGGAAAAGAAGAGCATGTGGCCAAATCTGCCTCTCGCTCCCCATCTCCACAAGAGGAAGAGTGCCGATCCCAGTCCAGAGAAAAACGCTCAGCCTCTCGCTCCAAGTCTCGCTCCAAGTCTCGCTCCAAGTCCCGCTCAAAGTCCCGCTCCAGGTCTCGTTCACGGTCTAGATCAGCTTCTCAGGATTAGTGGGTGTAGAGAAGGGAGAGGTTTTCTTATTGTTTAGCTTGATCATTATGCTGTACATACTGAGCAGTGTTTAATAACTGGTTTATGCTTCTGACACCCCCCTTCAAATGTACATTTGTCTTTTAACTTGTTAAAGCAGGAGTTTATTAGACCATCAACCACAATACAGCCGATGCTTTTTGGACTTGTTTCAGATGATCTGCTCCCTAAAAAAAAAAATAAAAAAATAAAGATAAAAAAAGTTTACAAATAAAATTTAGAATTTTGGATTAATGAAAATGGGTGCTGGGCTCTACAACTATAGCCTGAGGAAGTTGATGTCTCTGTGACTGGTGCCTGATTTGGTAAAGTTTAGGTTTCTTACTGTTCTGCTTTCATTTAAAGTTGTTTGTTTGGTCAGTGAATATTAAGTTGTCTTAAATGTTCTTTTATTCAGTTTGCAGCTGTTTGTTTTGGTTGGTAGTCTGACAGTTTGCTTTCCTTGTGTCTCCAGGCCTCTTATGTCTGAAGCATCCATCTTTGATTGGTAATTATTTTGTGTCGTACTCTTTCAAGCTCGCATGATTGTTGAAGAGTAGGCTCCAGGACTGGAACAGTTGAGTTTTTGACCTGCACATTCAGTCACATTCTTCGAGGAATCAGTCTGTCTTCGTGTTAAACGATGCATATTCAGGATGTAAGAGCTTGTAGTGCAGAACTTCTTAATTTAAAGATGAGGGTTTGGACTTACTTTTGATTAACTTGAATTGTAGATTGATTATTTTGATCCCTTTTAACTACTTGTACATAGAGTAATCAGCACAAAGCAATCTTTTGGTAGCTTTTTGGGGGGAGGAGGTTGGTAACATTAAGCAGGTAATCTATTAAGAGCCTTTACTTTAGTTTTTGATTTTCAGTTTGGCTAGAGACTCCTTTGCAGCGTCCTGTTTTTCCTCAGATTCTTCCATTGCGCCGATTGCTTCCCTGGTAATGTTGTTTTCCCTCCCCAGCTTCAGAACAGACTGAAGGGTTTTGGAAAGCCTTATTTAAAGTTTGCAGCTAGTACTGTTTTTGTGCTGGAAAGGTCCATGTGTTCAGAACTCCTGTGAGTCTGTAAACATCGGACTTGCTGAACGCAGCCACATTCTCCATCTTGTGGAACTGACTTTTCCCCCCCTTACCTTTTTTGGGTTTTATTGGGGAAAAGTCATTTTTTTATGCTATGTTCAATAAAAGATCTTCATTAAAAAAATAAACTTGCTGCCTGACGTTGTTTTGTCTGGATTATAAAAACCTTGACTGCAGTATTGACATGACCTATATCCTGCTAATTATATAATAAACGCTCGCTCATTATAGGCTGCAGTTGTGGAGGAAATGAGCAGAGCGCGTATTTATGGATGTAAGCGGGAACATTTCGCTTGCATGCCAAATAAAAATCGTTGTAGCAGCTATTTTACGCTTTTGCAGCTAATCGAGGGAGCACTTTTTTTTTTCACCTATCGACCATTACTGAAAGTGGAGCGACGCACTGGAAGTCTTTCTTTTGGCGTTAAATTATAGCCAACGAGCGGTGACTGTACTGTGGACCCGCGCATGCGCAGTCGAAGCCCCGGAGCCGCAGGAGATCAGAGCTGGTAAGCCAAATTTCAGTTCCTGAAATCTGAAAACACGAATTAAAATCAAATTTTAGAACTTTCCTCTAATTATAGAAGGCAGAAGCATATTTTAGTCACACTGGGTTTAAAAAGAAACCCGCCAGTCTGTTGTTTCTTTTTTTTTTTTTCCTCCCCTCACCGAGGTAAACCGTTTTTGGCGTCAGAGATGTAATCAAGCACAAAGCTTATCATCTTTAATATATAAATTTGATAATGGCTAGCGGATCTTTGACGTAGCAGGTTAAATATAAATTTTAAATTTAAAGCAGTTGCGCCAAGGTTTCAAAAATACCCGGCACACTTAACGCTGTTACGAGGAGAAAATGTTGCTCATTCATTAAAGATATTGCCGGAATGGGCGATAAGGTTGCTTTTTTCATTAAATGGGATTTTCACAGGAATTGAGCCTCTGCTTTAGCACATTTTTTGCCTCAAGGATTTCAGATCCTCCGCCATTTTAACTGAAATGCTGTATTTTAGTCTGTCGGTGTGTGTGTGTGTGTAGACTTGGGAGCTTGCGCGTAAATATTGGTGTGTCACCATTATTCTTTTATTATTGGAAGGATTGCATGGCTTTTAAAAGTTCATGGCTGTTTTGCCTTATTGGAAATACTTTTAGAGGAAGATTTTTTTGAGGGGTGAAATGTAGTTAAATTTTAAAGTAAAATTTAAACTCTCTGTCCTCTACTTTGGATAAATAGTATTTTGTTGAATGATAAAAGCGGTGCTAATGTGGTAAATTAAAAAGAGATGTTTCAAGATAGCAGAAAATAATATTGTAATAATTTAAAATTTGAATTTTGTATATGCCTCTAAATCAGACATATTTCAATAAAGAAATATATTTAAAAACAACAAACAACATAAAAATTAAAGCTTAAATTTGCGGGATTACTCTCCCGTCCATACTGTGGCACTCCCTCCTCAGGTTTTGGGTACAATCTCCTCTATAAATCTTTAACACACAATGTTAAAGCTGTTACCCGATAACCAGACAGCATTACTTTGTGCTATTTCTCATGCTGTGTCTCCCAGTGCTCCAGCACAACACACTGGGACGCCGTCATGAGTGCCAAAGTGAATATGGAGGCTCCAGCCAAAGAACCGGACTGCACCCCTATGGATCCGTCATCTTCGTCTCCCACAGAGACAATCCTCATATGCGGGGGTGATGGTGTGACCAAGAAGGCTCGGCCTCAGCCCCACACCACCACTGCTCTCCTGCTACCAGGTGAACTCATATGTAAGGATGTTCACAAATACATACTCTACTAAAGCACTGTTGGGGAAAACACTGATCGTGTCTTCTGACCTCATTAGACTGAAAAAACGAATTGAGAAGTAACCAGCAGTGTAATAATTTACCAGGCAAATTGTAAGGTCATAGTTCAGAATTTACACCTGCAATGTTTAACCTCATTCACAGGCATCACATTACAAAACAAGGGCCATTTTAATGGTTGACTTAATAACATCACATAGAAATATATACGCAAAAGATGCAACTCATCTTATTAGGTCCCTGTTCACAAAGCTGTGAGTTTAAAAATCAACTCTGAGTCTTCATTTCCAGAAAACCTTCATAGACTTACTAAACAGCTTCAGATCATTCTGTCAGTAATTCAGGTCAAGTTTATTGATGAAAAAGCTGCATTTGTGATTAAAAATAAAAAACCCCAATGAAAATTAAATTGTTAATTAAAAACTTATCTTTTCTTTTCATTGAACAAGTCATCCGCTTTAAATCTCAGTCTAATAAAATCATTAGCTGGATACATTTAAATTAAAATGTTAAAATTGACCTTTTTTACTTTAGGAGGGCAGATTCACCATGGCACCAGGTAAACAAGGAGCAGGGCCTCCTTTTAGTCCGTTTAGAAGTGCGGAAAAGAGTCGTTTTATTGAGCCACGAGCCGTTCTGTCATCATCATGCACAATATAAATGTTCAATATGAAATATCTAACTTCTCTGTACTGACTGCGGTGATTATTTAGCCAACTTTTCATTAGATGAAGCTATAGTTCTGATTTTTAACCCTAATTATTCAGCTGTAACCTGACAGGGACAGAATCTAGGAGATGTCCGGGAAGATAAAAATCTGGAGAAATAGACGAGCGACACTTTACTGATGGACCTGTGAGATTAGTAACCCAGACGGCAACAGACAGTCTGCCCTCAAGTCAGTTTTGGTTCAGTAAAAAAACAGTTATTGCAGCAGTTTATAACCATTACATTTTTTCCCAATAATTATTCAGTAAAAATTTAATGTACTGATGGGCTATAAGAATTTCATTTTTCACACAGGATTTCATTATGTCTGCCATTACTGGATAAAAGTTTTTAATTAGATTTAGAGGAAAACTGTGCTTTAATGTTCCCCAGTGTAAGCGTTCGTAATTTTATGTAATATCAGCTTTCAGTGATAGATGATGGCTCTCTTACGGCAACAGTAGAGATGTTTTACTCTGTTACCGGTAGCCTGATAGTAAGACTTTGCATGTTAGCATGGACAAACACGTTTTTAGAAATGTCTCAGCTTTTATAGAGCTGTTTACATGTTGTTCAGATAGATTTGAGATATTTTAGTGTAATTCTGGGAGGGAGAGGCTCTTTAAATAAGGAATACAGATTGTATCGGGACAAATTAAGCCACTATGAATGGATCTGGAGGAGATGAGCTGGATCCAGACCTGATCCAGTCTGAATCCATGACGTCACTGTAAAAAAACATTGAACTCAGTTTTAGTCATTTCACGCTCATCTTCAATCAGATATTCTCAACATCTCCAAGACTCAGCTGTGACAGTCATTTTTCCATCAGTGTGACTGATTACAGCACAACACATGATTGATAACTTAAACAGTGATTGCTGCAGCAAATGTTTAAAGTGTGGGCAAACTGACTGACAGTGTGACAGCTGCATTACTGTTCACAGAGATTCAGCTTCAGAAAGACCGAGTCTATAGATTTAAATCTGAACTGACAATAAGTCTAAGATGTAATCGCTGTCTCCATCTTCATGTCGATTACTGATCGATTATGTTACGTACAGAAAACAGTGAACTAAGCATGCCCTCTTCTGTGAATGAATTTGCTACGTTGTGCACTTTGACAGCGACTTTATGAAGGAGAAATTAAACTGTGCGTATCAAGAGGGGAGGAGTCAGAGAGAGAAACTTGGTAATCATGGTAACTACTCAGAGTTAAAGTTACCTGTCGTTCAGGGGAAAAAAAACAGTGTTTCAATTTAGGGTTAACAAATTCAAAGTTGTTTACTAAGCCTGCTTCCTGGAATCGGGCCCGGCTGATGGTTTAAGGATTGTTAAAGATGCTACATCCACTACCAGTCAAAAGTTTGGACACACCTTCTCATTACTTTAAGAACTGAAGGTCAGACATTCCGGAAAATAACTAAACTTTGAATGCAGTGCAGTTGCAAAAACCATCAAGCGCTACAAGGAAACTGGTTTACATGAGGACCGGCCCAGGAAAGGAAGACCAAGGTTTACCTCTGCTGCTGAGGATAAATTCATCCGACCAGCCTCAGAAATCACAAGTTAACAACAACCCAGATTAGAGCCCAGATAAATGCCACACAGAGTTCCAGTAGCAAACAGATCTGTACATCAACTGTTCAGAGGAGACTTCGCGAATCAGGCCTTTATGGTCAAATAGCTGCTAAGAAACTAATACAAGCAACAACAACAAGCAGAAGAGATTTGTTTGAAATACAATTATCAAAATTAGCACAAAACACATTAGACCAGTGGAAATCTGTGCTTTGGTCTCATTGTCCAAATTTAAGGTCTTTGGTTCCACCCGCCGTGTCTTTGTGCAACGCAGAAAAGGTGAACTGATGGTCTCGACATGTATGGTTCCCACCGTGAAGCATTGAGGGGGTGTGATGGTGTGGGGGTGCTGTGCTGGTGACACTGTTGGGGAATTTATTCAAAACTGAAGGCACACTGAACCAGCACGGCTACCACAGCATCTTGCACCAACATGCCAGCCCATCCAGTTTGTTGGACCATCATTTAATTTTAAACAGGACAGTGACCCCAAATACACTTCCAAATGGAGATGGTTTGGGATTAGATGAACCACAGAGTGAAGGCAAAAGGACCAACAAGATGCTGAGCATCTCTGGGAACTTCTTCAAAACTATTGGAAAACCATTTCATGAAACTCATTGAGAGAAGGCCAAGAGTGTGCAAAGCAGTAACAGAAGCAAAGGGTGGTTATTTTGAAGAATCTAAAATATAAAACACAAGTTATTTCACACGTTTTTGTTTACTACATAACTCCATATGTGTTCATTCTTAGTTGTGATCCCTTCAGTGAGAATCTACAATTTAAATAGTCTTGAAAATAAAGAAAAAACATTAAATGAGAAGGTGTGTCCAAACTTTTGACTGGTAGTACATAGAGTTCACTCAGCCACTCCTCACTGCATGTGCAAATCCTGACAAATCTTCCAATGCCTGTTCATAATTAATTAATAAGTTTTAATGCATAATTTTTAATTCAGAGTTTCCATGTTCAATATTATCATGTTTGTTAGTGAAAACCTTTAAGTTTTGATGTGTTCGCCGGACAAAGCAACACTTTCTGAGACGTTAGCTCTAGCTCACCAAAGCCGTGGAAGGTTTTTACTATTTTAATTTTATTAACAAAAGAGTTAATCAGGTAATTAAAACTGTGTTTGTCCAAAATAACAACAGCATTAAGAAAACAGTTTGATTGCTTCCAAAATCTCTGCTCTGTATTAGATAAACCAAGACTGTTGTTGTTACTTAAAATGAAAACTTACTGAAATAAAAACCATAACAAAGTTTTTTGGGGAAAAAAATACTTTAATGAACTGAAATAAAAATAAAAAAACAGACGGAATTTATTTCCCGACATAATCCTTCCATTTATCTGACTTGGCGTTAGAAGCACATTAGCTTGTGACCCTCTCTGAGGCCGGGTCTGTGCCCCCCGGGTCTTTTACAAACGTGTTAATCACTAACAACAATAATATAACACTAATAACCAGCAGATACTGATTTCTATTGCAGTTTCTCATGTCAGAGAAATGTGCAGTAAAACTGAGTGTGAAAACCGAGTGATGATATTAGCAGCTGTTTAACAGTTTTGTGAAGCGTGCTGATAACCAAGCCTGTCTGCAAATCTACAGAAACAAACAAATACTATTTGCCTGGTTGTCACGGCAACAGAGCGCTGTTTTTCCTTTACCATTTATAGTGAGTAAAGCAGATGACAATGAAGTACATCGCTTTGTGCTTTATTATTCCGAGTGCATCTTTTTCCTCAGCTCCTGCCCATCAGAAGGTGGAGGTGACTCCAGCTGTTGCAGTGGGTAACCCAGGTAAAGGAAGCAGAGCCAATGAGATGGCAACGCCTGCACTGACAGCACAGGTGGGCGGAGCTTGTAGCATTGTCCATGTCCTAGAGTTGAAGGAGGGAATGGCCATCCTGCCCAGTAGCAACCTTAAGGTAAAGCGATATTAAGCTTTGCTGTGGTTTAAAAAAAGTCATTGAAAGTTGTTTTTATTTCTTTTTCGACAAAGTCCTGAATAACATATATATATATATGTATATACACACTTTTTTTTTTTTTTTTTTAAAACAGCATACAGTTTGTAAAGACACGGACACATTTTGACAGATGGTGCACTGATGCGTGTGTGTGTATTTGTCTTGCAGTTCTGTGTGAGTGACTTAGGAGCTCTGAGCACATTGATCACCCCGGGCACTGCCAGCAGCACTGCTGAACCTGCAGCAGGGACTTCTGGGAGATCCACTGACGCAGAAAGAGTTCCAGACAAGCCAGGTAGACTCGTGGTTACGTAAGGTCATAGTAATATCAGGCACAGACACACAATAGCTGCACTCTGGTGAATTATTTACATTTTTGCACACACAGAGCAGAAAACAGTTTGGAACCGGTCACCTCCAGGATAACAGATTTTTATACTACTTAGCCACATGTGTTTGTTATATTTTAACACATATTTGATAACCAAAGCAGCTTTTATACCATGTGTGATATTTCAAATATAACAGTGAGTTAAACTAGTTCTTGTGTTACACGTGTCATGCTGGTTTAAACAGCCTGCACTTTTATTTGAAGTACTAAACAGCATGGGCTCAGTCATCACTGTGTGTGTGTGTGTATTAAGCATAAATGAGTGGTAATTACATCAGCTGTAGCAGAGCTTCTCTTTACAAGTGAAGAGGTTGCAGCTGCAGATTTCTTTGTAGATATTTAAAATCCAGCTGAGAAACTTTGAAAAGTCAAAGAATATTCAATAAAGATGCAGACGGGCGTGTTTTCACCTGCAGCCCTGTCTGTGACAGATGCGTCGGCTCCTGCCAGCTCTGGGAGGGGCGTGGCCCTGGAGCCAGAGAGGTTGGTGCCGGTCAAAGCTGGAGTCCAGGTTGATCCAGGACAACAGAACCATAATCCCAGAGCTCAGCGGACCTACACAGAAGAGCTCCGCAGAGACCCCATCACTGACAAGTATGTGCCCCGCTGCTCGGCCTTTATGTTTACGCGCCTCGCTCCACGTGCATAAGCTCATCTTTCGTTTTCGCCTCAGGAGGAGCATTGGCGTGGAGAAGGTGCCGGCAGGCGGGAGAGTCTCCCTCAACCCCGATCACCTGAAGCCCATGAGGAAGAGGAAAAGGAAGGAGTACCTGAGTCCATCTGAGGAAGACTCGGACATCGAGGGCACGGTGGAACCGCGTTGCTATTTCAGTTTTAAAGTTGCTTTTATGCGTGACTACCATCTCACCGTTTCCTGTTGTGCGCTTTCTCGTGTTTTCTTTTTAAGGATGAGAAAATGGATTATTCTAAAGCAGATGGCCGACACATCAGAGGAGGTTGGAGCATTTATTTCTTGCATCAGTGGTTTTGTTGGACGCATATCATCTTTCACTGGATACTATTACTACTAAGCTGCAACACTACATCACATAAAATCACATCATCTCTTTACTTCATCCAGAAGCTGTGTGTCCTTCTTTATCCTTTCATTACATACCTTTTCTTGTTTCAATTTATTTGAAAAAAACAAACAAACAAACATGCAAGGTCGAAAATGAGAATGAGAGTGTATAGAAGGCATAATGTTGGAGTTTCACAGCAGGCATTGATTTTTTAAATTCCTGAAGGTGGAGACAGTAAGACAGAGCAGTGGACGTGGGCTCAGTACCTGGAGGAGACCAAAGCTGTTGCTGCTCCTAACAACGTTTTCCAAGAGGTATGTACACACACACACACACACACACACACACATATCAAATCTATTGCTCGGAGCAAAATTGAGTGTAGCACTCTCAAGAGAGGGACAAAGTAATTTATGTCGCCAAAGCCATATGTTCATATATTAAATCAAGGATTTAAAACTAATTTCACATTGTGCCCACTTTGAAGTGAAGCGGGCCAAATCAGTGAAACTCTCCTTTCTGTAAGTGTAAAGAACTTTAGTTACACTTTTAATCTCTGAAGTATCTCAGCGTAAGAAAACAAGTGCAATTTCAGCAGTACGTCTCCGTTTTTCTACACAATAAAGAAACACTGCTGTATCAAATGAAAGAAATCTGTCAGCGCAGCTCGTTGGGCTTAAATTGTAAGAAATAAGTGCTAAAAATTACACAAAAGAAAGCTCATTGCTCAGACTATTCCAAAACAGAAAGTGTATGTTAATTCAAAGAACTTGCTTCTTCTTTTTTGAGCTGTGAGTGTATCCAGCAGAATAGTTTACCTACTACGTAGTTATGTTGGTGTGGTATAAATGTCCATGGTCTTCATCAGTTAAGTTATAAAATGTTTAAAAATACAGTTAAAAGTTCAAAATTTATGCCATTTTCCAAACCTGTCTAAGCAGACTGGATTGGAGTCTTTGAGTGTTTGTTGGACCGATTCTGACCCCCGGGCCTTACGTTTGACACCTCTGTACTAAATGTTGGAGTTTGATTTTAAAATAATCTAAAGGTTTGTATAACAGTGATGAAAAACCTAATCTTGGAATAAAAGAGTAAAAAACATTAAGATGAAGACATAATCCCTGTTATTTTATTCTTTTTTCTCGCGGTGTTCGGATGGTTTCTCTGTTCTTTGCTGTCACTCAGTTTCCCCAGAAAAATCTTTTATGCAGACTTTGCTTCCATCTCCTTGTTGTACGGAAACTTTTGCTGTTGTTTCATGTTCCAGTCCCAGAGAGTGCCGACAGTGAGGAACGGCTTCAAACACGGGATGAAGCTGGAAGGCATCGACCCGCAGCATCCGTCCATGTACTTTGTCCTCACTGTGGCTGAGGTGAGCCAGTGGACCGTCGCCGCCAGGCTTCTTATTTAGGATCATTTTCATGTATTCACAGAATGCTTTGGATGCAGAATGACTTCACTGAGGTGTCTCCTCTTCTGATATGTCATGTCAGGTCTGCGGTTACCGGCTGCGGCTCCATTTTGATGGCTACTCTGACTGTCATGACTTCTGGGTGAATGCCAACTCTCCTGACATCCACGCTGCAGGCTGGTGTGAGAGCACAGGGCACAAATTGCACACCCCCAAAGGTCAGAGGTCATACTTATTCCTACACTAAATAAATTCTTAAAAAATATTTGCCATCCCAGTGTGTGTTTTATCGACACAAGAAGTTTAGAGCGAATGGTTTCTTTTGGTGCAGATTAAGTAATGAGATCTAGTGTTTTTACTGAGCTCAGCTGAGTCTCTCCTGGCATTTTTACATTTAAAGCACACAGATGTGAAAACTATTCCTCTAAATCCTGCACTATCTTCCAACATGCGACTTCTCTCTGTATTTCTGTGCTTCCTGCAGGCTGTAAAGAGGAGGAGTTTACTTGGACCAACTATCTGAGAATGACTAAAGCACAAGTGGCTCCCAAAGAACATTTTGCCAGTCCCGGAAGGGTAACCATCTCTGTGCAGTATAATATATGCTGGCTGTTTTAACCACACACACACACGTATTGGATGAGGTGACTGATTCGGTGCAAGGAAAATTCCCAACTTCAGCTATTATAATGAAAAGCTTATTTTAAGAAATGTGCACCTTAGATCATGATCATGCAGCACTGAAGACAAACTGAACTGTTTTGTTTAATAAGGTCCTGGATAATTTTAATGTAAATACCGAATGCATGGAGATCATAATCTAAAAATCTTGACAAGTGGCTCAACAGCACACCAAAGAAGGTAACGCTTCCCCTGGTTTTCCAGATCGATGTGAAGTGTGGTTTCGAGATAGGAATGAAGCTGGAGGCCGTCGATCGTATGAACCCCTCCCTGATCTGTGTAGCAACCATCACCGATGTGGTGGACGACCGCTTCCTGGTTCATTTTGACAACTGGGATGACACATATGACTACTGGTGAGTCATAGCATCTCTCTGAATGCTTTTGGGAAATGATTTAAAGGATTTCTAAAATTATACTGTGACTGGGCTTTTGATATGTTCATATAAATCTGAAGCAGTATCGGTGAGAATACAGCTATTTAGATATTTCGTGCTGTCATAGAAAAGGGTAATTATAATAACGTTTTTCTCTATTCTGCTGGTGTAGCTGGAGCTTTGAGTTTAATCAAGAGGAGAGCAATCGGCATTGTTAAGGCAGATTAATGATGGCTGCTGGAGTTTGCAAAAAGTTCTGAATCCCGTGGAACGAAATTCACACCTTTATTAGGACTGAACAGCTGTTTGATGCTGTGTCATAGGTGATATGTGACCATTTCAGATTATAAAATTACGTTTGTGAAATGTTCAATTGTGCAATTATCTCATCATCTACAGTCCATAATATCATCAAAAGATTCAGAGAATCTGCAGAAGTCTCTGTGTGCAAAGGACAAGGCCAAAAATCAATATTGGTTTCCCGTGATCGTCACACGTCAAGCGGCGCTGCATTAAGAACAGGCATGATTCAGCCAAAATCCTTGGACTTTTCTCAGTGTGAACATCTAATATGTTTTCCATGTATCCGATTTCTTTTTCAGTACACATCACGGCAATTCAGACTACAGCAGCCGAGCTGCATAAGCACGGTGTGTTGATTAGCGTAAAGATAATGCCTTCATTAAACAAAACGTAGCAGGCTGGACTTTTATCTGGCTCACTCGTTTCAGCGCATGTGCCAGTTTTCTCCCAGCACGCAGCAGATGCGTGCTGCTTTCTCCTTTTTTCACCTCTCTCTTTTCTCGCTCCTGTGTTTCAGTAAAAGTAACTGTCGTTCAATATTCAACACAGTCAGCTCAGATTGTTTACAGAGCGACGCAGGAAAAAAGTGTCGTGCAAACACTGACATTGCTGTAACACAATCTTCACAGAGATCCAGAGCAGTACGACAAATCCACCTTTACATCAATGTCACTATGGATACAATACTACTAAACAAGTGTCTTTAGATCACATCAACAGAGAGAAACACAAATCTTTCAGGATTTAAAAGTTTCACTTTCTTCAAGAGCTAGATGCTGATTTATTTCCTGGAGCATAATCTCTCATCAGTTCAGTCTTAATTTTCCTGTAAGTTTGCAGAAATTTCTATTGAACCTAAATTGTGCATATTGTTGTGTGTCACAACATGCAGGTGTGATTCCAGCAGTCCGTACATTCATCCTATTGGTTGGTGCCAAGAAAGGAACCTCCCTCTAACACCACCCCAAGGTGAGGAATGTGATCCCTGTTAATCAGTAGTTTATCCGTGCTCATTGTCATATCATGGGTTCATCATGAGTTCTGCTCAGTTACTTTTTTGTACACTTGCCCTCTTTTTTTTTTTCTTTCATTACCGTTAAACTGAGGATGAACGTGTGACAGTTAAAAGTTAGTACCTGACATATGTATCTATGCTTAAAACTTACAAAAGCTGTTTTTTAATAAGTGATATATAAAGTCAGGCAAAACCGTGTAAGGTTTTATGGCTGTTTACGTTGGTGAAAGTTTTTTCCTGCACCAGATTATCCAGACCAAGGCCGGTTCGCCTGGTCTCGATACTTGGAGGAGACAGGATCCAAAGCAGTGGCTGCTGATGCCTTTAAAGTGGTGAGAATGCAGATAAAAAGTAAAGAAGAGCTAGCATTACGAACAGTAAAGTCACAGATTAATGGAAAATATGTCTAGTTTGTTTTGTTGTCAACGTGAATGTGAAATCCCATCATCCTCTGCTCCAGCGGTCACCTCACAGCTTTCAGCCTCAGATGAAACTGGAGGCTGTGGACAAGAGAAGTCCCGGTCTCATAAGAGTGGCTACAGTTGAGGAGGTGGACACGCATCGCATTAAGGTACAACTTTGTGTAGTTCTTTAATGTTGTGGAATGATTACTTGAACCCATTTTCTTGAAGAAAATTAATTGATTGATCGATTCCTAAAGATTAAAAGATCTCAAGAATCAGTCAAAGAGCTGGGAGCAACACAATTAAACATAATCCCAGTATCAGCTTTATAAAAAAAAAAGGAGTCAAGACTGGTAAATAAAAAAAATCAAGTTTCATCAATCATCAGAGTAAATTCGATATACATTCCTGCTCCAGTACTTTTCCCTTATGCTCAGCAGCTGTGCTTCAATAAATAAAACAATAAACAGGTCTGGAGATCAAATATCATCTCGGTGGACCACTTTTCAACCTCTCTGAGCTCCGCTTTCAAAGACCGACCATCCTGACAATCAAGCATATGATCGCTTCGGTCTGACCATCAGCATCCAGATAAACCAAGGTGCTCGCGCAACCTGCAATCTAATTGATGCAATGAATCAAACCTGGAAAACAAGCAGAAGATGCCAGTCTCATGGGTTAAACCAGGGGTGGGCAATCTCAGTCCACGAGGGCCGGTGTCCCTGCAGGTTTTATTTGTGTCCTTGAACCAACACAGCTGATTTAAATGGCTAAATTAGCTCCTCAACATGTCCTGAAGTTCTCCAGAGGCCTGGTAACGAACTAATCATGTGATTCAGGTGTGTTGACCCAAGGTGAGATCTAAAACCTGCAGGGACACCGGCCCTCGGGGACTGAGATTGCCCACCCCTGGGTTAAACCGTCTTGCCTCGTCAGGAACTGTTTGAACAAGAATTTTGCAGAAGTGAAGAAGACAAACAGAGATAAAAGACTAGATCAATAAAGTGGATTGTGTGTGTGTAGATGATCGGATCAGTCATCAGAAATAACAATGACTAAGAGAAGTAAACAGAAGAAGCAATAAAGTTTGTTTAATGTGTGCCTGTCAGTTTGGATAGGTCTGCAGGAATAAGATCTTCCATGTCCAATTACTGTATCATACGTCTTTGCAGTTGATTGTTGATTTCTGTACATTTTGAGTTCGAGTGCATGTGGAGTATTTATATCTATTACAGCCTCTTCTTCTTGTTCAGATCCATTATGATGGCTGGAGTCACGTCTATGATGAGTGGGTAGACTCAGATCACCCAGACATCCATCCAGCAGGCTGGTGCGAGGCGACCAGTCACCCGCTTAAAATCCCTCCACGGGACACTAAAACACAGCAACCGCATGGTAGCAACCAGCCTCACGTGACTGCTTTTTCTTCGCTTAAAACTGGAGGTCAAAACTTCTAAGCCTATTGTTATCTTCTATAGACTGTATATAAAAGATAGATGTGGCCATAGTGACATCATTATTGTGTTACGGACTGTTCTGAAACTTTATTTTAATATTTTGTTGAACTTTGAAGGCAGTGTTGCTAAGATATTGGCTAATGCTAGCACTGACAAGCTAGCTTACATAGCAAGTGTAATTCACTGTGATATTTAATGGCATGCTAACTTTACCTAACAATAAGAAAACTGGATTAACAGAAACTGTTCTTAGGTAATGATTGAATCTACATTGTCAGGCATATCCATAACTTTAAGATTTAATACAAGCTAAATGGGTGACTTTATAGACCAAATGTTTTTTTTCTGTTGTAAAGCCAGTCTCATGTGGACATTAGTGGATCTTTTTAAAGCCTCACGGTTTGCCACTTGTTATTTACATGATTTCTTTAAGGCATAATCAATGCCGTGATTGTGAATGTCAGCCTATGAGTGTATGTGAATGTTCTCCTCTGTGTTTGTATATATGTAGGTGTGAGGGAGCCTCCTGCTACAGGCCAGTCCACCTACACCTCCTCTGTTCCCTGTAAACCCATCAGTCAGCCCAGAACCAACAAATACAGCTTCCACAACAGGTAAATCCTGAACTCAGCTCTGTCATCCTGTCATTAAATGCATGATTTTTCCAAAAACTTGGGATGATGTGTAAAACCTAAATGAAAACAGAATAAAAAAAGTCAAATATTTGAACTGAGAAAGTGGATCATCATTTTGAATTTGACATTATCAGTCAATGATCTAAAGAAAAGTTGGGACGGGGCCATATTTTTGTTGACATTTTACACAGAGTCCCAACTTTAAAAAAAAAAAATAGAATTTTTTTAGATGCTAAAATGCACAGAAAGCATATCTCCATTTTTGTCTTTGAAACAGGAAGTGTCCAACTCCAGGGTGTGACGGCTCAGGCCATGTCACCGGTCGTTTCACCGCCCATCACTGCATATCCGGCTGCCCATTGGCTGAGCGTAACCAGGGTAGGCTGAAGGCTGACCTGTCAGACTCAGAGTGCAAGAGAAACCACTTCTTTGGTCAGAGGACTAAGAAGACTCATTACCGTGGCAGGTAAAGTGGTGTCCAAGTATTTGTGTGCATGTTTGTTTTTTCTCGCATTCATTTTCTGTATTTTCAGGATTGGTCGTCCTCCCAAATACAGAAAGAATCAACAGAGGGACTACCAGAGTAAGTTGCACTGTTTGTTTTTTGTTTTCGCAGCACCTCACCTCAAAACAAGAAATACTAATAATCTAATCAGAAGATTTGCATGTTAATCGTTTGATATGCAGTATTTGTTACTGTGAAAAGGCCGGCAGACCTTTTTTAACTCACCGGTGAAGTTTTTAGAGCTTCCACTGAGCCTAGCAATCTAATAGAAATGAATTAACCGTTGCTTTTTCTGCTATGATACCCAAAATTAAATGGTTGTCAACGTATTTATCTTATATAATTACTTAATGCTTTTAAGATAATTTTACAATCATGTTGTCTTTATAAGATTCTAGATACAGTATTTAGACAGGCAACGGTTGCAACAAACATCCAGTCAGCTCATGTATCTCGTATTCCCCTCAAATTTCCATGTTTGTACAATCACATGTTTCATCATGTGTATGTATGTTTCTGTGCACAGACATGTCCTCACAGGGAGTGTATCCATCACTGTTCATGTCAGCTTTGAGCAACCAATCAGACCGCACTCTGTCTTTGTGCTGGGAACAGCACTGCAAGCTGCTGCCCGGCGTTCAGGGCATTCACGCCAGCCAGGTGGCCACATGGAGCGTCGAGGAGGTGGGAAAATGTCGTTCGCCTCCATAATTATTTACATTCTTTCTCTGACTTATACGATTACCTGAAATCCGCTGCATCTGTGCCGCAGGTCTTCAGATTTGTCCAGAATTTAATTGGCTGTGAAGAACAGGCTCGTCTCTTCAAAGAAGAGGTGAGACCATTAAATGCTTGTGGATTAATAACTGAAGGATGACTAAAGATTTGCAGTGTAAACATGTCATTCATTACTGACGCTGTTTAGACTGTCTTGCACTCTTACATGTTTGCAGCTGTATCATATTTCTGAGTGGATTTCACTGCGAGGGGCTACTATAATTTGCTATTTGACCAGATGGAACAAACTTTTCTCCACTTACTACCTCCGCATTTGTGTCTCTCTAGATGATCGACGGGGAGGCTTTCCTGCTGCTGACCCAGACCGACATTGTGAAGATCATGAGCATTAAGCTAGGCCCCGCCCTCAAGATCTCCAACGCCATCCTCATGTTCAAGAGCACAGACGAGGGACTGAAGTGAATCCCGCCCTCACTCAGCGGCAGCGCTGTGTCGCCAATCATCATGTGCCAAATTCATTCTGTTGCAGGGAAAAAGACCCTGACCCCTTTTTCCATGTGTTCGGTGTCCTGTACCCATCAGAGAGAGGGAGAAGGGAGGGGTGGGGGGTGGGGGGGTGAGGTCCGATCAGGGTAAAGAGAAACAGAGCTGAGATTAGAAGATTCAGGTTGATTAGAAAATATGAATATTTTTGGAGAGTAATGGAGGACTGTCATGGATATGAGGATGGAGCAGATGTAGGAAAACAGAAACTGATGGGTTTGGTTCACCCAAAACCCCTCAAAAAATATCCCTTGGCCACAGTACATCTGTGTGTGCTGTGCTAAATCTCAACATTTCAACCCACATACTTTATACTGAATTTGAATTATAAGCCAGCGGGAACGGCTGGAAACCCCACGGTTGCATTTCTCTGCCTACCAAAGCACACTTTACATCCATGTCTCTCTGCGGGTAACTTTTTTACTATTTGAACATAAAATGTTCTAATTTTATAAATAACATATCCTTTTAAGCTATTGTGAGAAATGATATCACAGTGTGAATTAAGCCAAAAGCTCTCAGCGACTTTTAAACACCGACTACCAAATTCTAATCAGTTCGTGCTTGAACTTCCAAATTTAAAGACAATCCCCGAAAACCTTCAAAAGGTATCATGTCCTTGATTAAGATGAACAAAGGTGTCATTCTTAAGGTATACAAACTTATGGACACATGGATGGGCAGAGAACTGCAGACACCCGCTGCTCTCATTGGTGTGAAGGGGAAAAAATAGGTGATGTCATGTAACAGATGTTTGTTAAACAGACATACTGTTTTATTTGTTTTCCTGCACAAGGAAGATTAACATCCAGTTCCTGCCTACACCAATGCAGCTGATATAAGTACTGATACTGTACATTTACTTCCTAAGTTAGAATAATTCCTATTTATGTACCAGGATAGTTGAAACCTCCAAAGAGGTCAACTTACCTTAAGATAAAGTTCACACGTGGCCAGATGTGATGAGAACTCTTACCTGGATTGTGACAAAACCCATCAGTTTGCAGTCTGACGAGTAAAAGTGAAAGGAACATGTATCAAGGTTGAAAAGAAAACATCCTGAAATACTGTATCAACTAATGGAAATGAAGGGGGAAAAAAAAGGTTGGGTAAAAGACAAGAAAGGGTTCCACATAAAAAAAAGTAAGTAAAAGGATTTTGATGCAGTAGGTGAGGCTGGTCTGTGAGGCTCTTATAGGCTTCACGTTTTGTGCAATAAAGAAGCTGATACAGAAGTGCTGTATTCAGCAACAGTTAATATTACAGTTCCTTATATATTAGACAAATTGTTGCACTGTAATGTTAAAAAAAAAAAAGGAAATCAAATGAGTTGCTTTGTTCAGACTGTTTAGATTTGTGATTGAGTCGCAGAGGAAGCTCATTTCACTGATTATTCCTGAGTATTAGTTCTTTATGTTCACTGCCTCAAAATTCTGCGCGCCGCACCGAAAATGTGAGCGCTCGAGTGAAGGACGAGATGTAACTTTTAGAACGTCGACCCTCAGCTCTCGAATCCGAGGCAGAGAAAACAAACGACAGTGTTTGAATTTTTATCTCTATATGCAAAACGTCTGAAATTATTTTTTAGCTGTTATAGATAGATGAAACGGACTCTTTGCATTGGGATTTTAGCACAACTGTGAAATTCAAATGGATTTTACACATGGATATTCCCACACTCGGTCACTAGAGAGTGCAAAAAATCCACCTTTTGCACTATAAACACGTATTTGGTATCTAGCCAATGGAGCGCTCTTGCAGTTTACATGTGAAGGAAGCGCCGGGCGAACTGTGTTCTCAGAAATGTTTACATTTGATGTCAGGGTTTGTTTAAAACACTGTATGGAGTTGATATTGTGAGACGAAAGCTGAATGTTTTAAGGGCTCCTGGAATCTTAAATATTACTTCTTTGTATGTCTCTCTGGTGGGATTTGTGTGCGTGTGTGTGCGTGTCAAGATAATCTTGGGTCACAAATGTCATTTAAACCATATGAATTAATAAACATCCACAGCTGTCTTGTCTGATTAATGTCTCTGCCTCTTGCCTCCTGCCACGGATGATAAATCCTGCATTTCCTGTGTGTGTGCAGGTATTCTGTGTGCACAGTACTGACTATAAACTGACTATGCCTACAGGCACATCCCCCTGTTGATCGTGTTGTTGTCAGCACTTGGCCATGGTGGCGATAACTCCCTCCACGCCCTTTCTGCTTTCACTACTTATCTTCTCGTTCCACTGCAGAGGCCAGAAAGCAGGCGCTGCTGATAACCTGCAGCAGCAAGACTACAAACAAAGCACTCAGTTGACTGCTGGGTAACAAATGTTTCATACAGGAAGGAGCAGCAGTTGACCAGGTCTTATTTTTTTCTTAATAATATCAGAAGATGGCGCTAAGCAAAGTCAGGACTTTTGGTTTTAACATTAACCCATGTTTTCTGTACGAGGAGCAGAGTTAAACAAAAGAAAATTCCCATTACACTGAAACTAGTGTTAAGCTGTGTTAAACGTTCAGCTCTGCGCATTTTAATATTGAAAGCTTGTTGTAGTTCAGTATTCAGAAGCATGATATAGAAACCTGAACCCACGGTACAGTAAAAAACCCCAAATGATATGATAAATCAGGAGCGTCAAACATGAAGCCCGGGTGTTCAAATCAGCCCGGCAAACACTCCAATCTCTCCCACTGGACAGCTTTAGAAAATTTGAAGGATATATTTTGAGTATATTTCAAACTTTTAACTGTATTTTAAGTCAGCTTTTCCGATTAATACAGACTTCACCCCCCAGCCATACCACACAAAAGTACAAGTACATTTTCTGGTAATTAAGGAAAACTTTATAATCTAAATGTTTAATTACAGGGCAGTCAGAGCGATGAACTTTACACATGTATCATGTATTCGCTCTGGCCCAGCCCACAATGAAAAATGAGTTGGACATGGTAAATGTTAAATGGACTGGTTCTTATATAGCGCTTTTCTACTCTTTCTGAGCACTCAAAGCGCTGTACACAACTTCTACATTCACCCATTCACACCCATTCGCACAAGCACATTTCTCTAAGTGCTTTCTAAGTAACATTCACACGCACATTCATACTCCGATGGATGCATCGGAGAGCAATTTGGGGTTAGTATCTTGCCCAAGGATATTTGGCATGCAGACTGGGGAAGCCAGGGATCGAACCACCAACCTTCCGATCAGTAGATGACCTGCTCTACCACCTGAGCTACAGCCACCCACAATCACTGTCACACATCACACATCACTGTCATAAAACCTTGAAAGAAAATGACTTGGATATTTATAAAGCCCGGGGAGTTCAATGAATACTTCATAAATACTTTTTTAGTTTAGTTTGTCATGTAACATCTTTATATAACATAGTGTTTAGGGGGGAAGATGACACACTTTTATTCAAACGTTCTTTCATGTGTGTTAAAACACATCTAAACTGACAAACCTTGCTGGGAGTAGACTCTGCTGACTTATTCTGCAGTCTGTCGAAGTTTTATTGTTTTTAGTTGTTCTCAAACTGTGGGACTGTGTGACTATGCCCCACTAACTGGGCATAGAGCCACTCGACAACCTCAAAAAATGAGGTAACGGCCAAAGTGTTACCAGTCTATGAACTATATGGGGCTGTTTCAGAATCTAGATTATCTTAATGGGTCACAGGTCACATATGAGTGCAGTAAGTTTAAATGGGGCCATGATTATCAGTGTGCAGCATCCCCGCTTCTTTTAACAACAGTTTTCCTCTTTGCCTCAGATCTTTGGCCCAGTGTTTTTCCATGCCTTCTTCTTTGCATCACAGAGCTATTACCTGCATTTGTGGGTGTCTGAGGAACCAAAGATCTTTTCTCATCATCTACAGTATATGATATCATCAAAACATTCAGAGAACCTGGAGAAATCTCACTTTCTGCTGCCCTCTTGGGCACATCTCTCTTGAAAAAGACATTTTTTAATGTCAGTAAGGATACACTATAGGATATATAAAAGTCACCTGAGCAAAAATGGATTGCAACGTGTACCTTGTGACATCGATGTTCTTTCAGGCTCAAAATGACTTGATATCATTCGTGAGAGATATGTTTGACAGATTATAGCCCAGCAAGCCATGTACAAGAGTTGTGTTGCGCTAAAAATATCTGCCCCTAATTAAACTAAATGATTTTATTGGCCTACAATCTGTGATAGATGCTTACAAAACAAGTGAGTTTTAAAACACAGTTTATTTAACAGTGCGTGCGCCGAAATTACACATGAGAAAACAAACAAAGAAAAACCCACACAGATAAATTGGAAATCCCTTTTTGGCACCCCTAGTACGCATGCTTTACATGACGCTAAAGTTAGGGTTCATGTACTCATGTAACCACATACATGAAGTATCTATAACAATGTGACCACTATTTCACCTTTTTTCTTGACAAATAACTTTGGAAGGTTAAAAAAATATCAGGCTTACATTATTTTATAGCTTACATACCTTATTTTGAAGCCACATAGCAATTTCCGGAAATGTTGCTATTTGCGCACACGCACGCAGGGTCGCTGAAAGTTTGCGCCCTTGCACCGCCTTGTTATTTTAAGCTCGCTAACATTTCATCAATGATTCACTATGTGGAGTCCTGCCCACGTCCCCTCATGACGTGTGGAAAGCAGATGCGCTGACCTGAGATCAGCCTCAAGCTGCCACTGTGACTGCGCTCTGTTTGGAGTCCTGTCAGTGTGAAGCGCGCAGAGCACGGATCACCTCATCCTTCACACAGGTGAGCTGATCATTTCTGACCTATTCTGCGTGATTTATTCCTCGGGTCATTTTCTATATCCGGGGTAATAATAACAGGTGCACAGGTAGTGTGGAGCGTCACTGTGGCGCTCATCATTATTGCACAGGTCTGCTTGTAAAACTTGCTAACAACCTCAGCCTGCTGGATATTTAGACACGTCCATATGTGATCTGTGTGATCGATCAGGGTTACTGATGATACTGCACTGATAGCCCCGTTAGGAAGTCTCTACATGTTGTCTTTAGTCCCAAATCTCACTCAGATCACTGACTTGTAGCTGAGCTTTTCCCTTCTTTAAAGGAAAGTCACAGTTTTCTAAGAAGGCTCTGTAATAGTTTTTTATACTTTTATGATTCAGTTTTCTATCCAGCTTTTAGTTTTGCGAACACGAGTCTTTCTGTGAGTTAGTTGCTGGTTTGCTCTGAGGATTAATCTCTGAACAGAGTTGTAGTTTTGCTGAGTGTAGCTTTAGTGGCAGATTAAGAGGTTATCATAACTGTCAATGTGCGTCATTTTAACCTCCTCTTACGTCCTTACCAAATGTGTCATTATTAAATAATGCAATAAGTTCGCTGTTATCCACACTGCAGTCTATTTATTCTCTTTTTTGGGTTACATTTAAATGAACAATAGAGTGCTTTCTTCATATCAATCTTAATGTGGAAACACACGCTTAAAGTTAAAATTTGGCAAACTGGACACTTTTTAACAGCTAAAACTTTGAGCTCGATGTGGATCAGGCCAATTGGAAAACTTTTGGGTCGAACTCCGGCTCGTCCACTCTGCATGTCGAAGTGTTCGAGTGCGTTAATGTTAGTAAAAGCACCGTGTGAATGTGTGTGATCAAGTTTAAAGACTTGTGGTAAGAAGCTTTTTTTAGTGCTCAAACTGACTAGAAAAGCATTATGTAAGTGAAAGTCTGTGTCTATGAGAGTTCTTCATTAGTTGTAGATTATTTGATGTAGCATAAAATCGTTATTTTCTGGGTGTGAAACTGCACGGATTTGGTTACTAACTGGCCTTAAAATATTATTATATACAAACTACAATAAATGCATCTGCACAAATGTATTGTGACATTCAGCACCTCATTTGCCTATAAATAGATAAACAGGCCTAGGGTTCCTAGGAAAAGCATGACCTCAGATCAATGGGACTTTTGTTTTATGTGTGTGTGTTTAGATGGATGTGTGTGTGTGTGTGTGTGTGTGTGTGTGTGTGTGTGTGTGTGTGTGTGTGTGTG